AAACTGCACAAAGTTCAAAGCTTTCAAACTGCTGCAAGTCAAACTCTCAAACCTCTGCTGCTGCTTGCTGCAACCGTGGTTGATACAAAACACTCGAACTTCTTTTTCATACTCGCGGACTTGAGCCAAGGTCGTAACAGGTAACTTGCAAACACTCTACGGCTTCTCTTGGCTGAGCAAGCACTTCCAAGCACTTCAAACAACCACGCAGCGTCATCAACTGTCAGGCCACAAAGGTTCGGAGGTCAAACCTTTTCACTTGCTGCAGAGGTAGGTTGGAAGGGTTGGGTTAGTCTTGCACGTAGGCAGGTCAGATGTAAAACCAAACAGAGCAAACACAACAATCAACTGACAAACAAGGTGAAACAGGGATCTGAACCTGCGGCGTGCAAACAGTCAGCACCAACCGTTCAGCAACAACTCCTTGGCATGTTTAAGTCTAGCGTCACAGCCAAGGTACCTGAGATTCTAGTAGGAAGACCAAAGTCACCAAGCGAGCTTTGGGGCTTGCTTGTGCGTTAAGGGGTTTGGTTGTGTCCTTAGGGCAAGATTCTGGGTGGCAAGATTCACGCAGTCAACGCTCGATGGTGGTCTGCCGGTAAAGCGGAACATTTCATCATAGTTCGGCGAAGGGAGACTTGAGAAGGGGGAATTTCTTGAAGGAAACTTGAGACGAATCCTGCCCGGAGGGAGTATAAGGGTTGAAGGGGGCCTGAAGCGGGCTTGAGAAGGGGAAATTTTTCAACGAAACAGGAAATTTCAATAGGCTTCTCAAGGGACTTCAAGGCATTTGAGAATAAGTTTCAAGAGCGAGATCTCCAAATTCTCAGAGGAGGTTTCAAGCTCCTTCTCAAGCCTCCTTGCAGCCCTCTTGAAAGACCTCCCTTCTCAAGCCCCCCTGAAGTCTTCTCAAATTGTATTCGAGAATTCTGGATCCAGAAGTCTCGAAGGAAGCTTCAAGCCCCTTCTCAAGATCCCTTGAAGCGAGCTTCAATTAATTGAATTCATTCAAATCCACCTTCAAAAATTCAGATGGAATGTACTTGATTGCAACATAAATAAAAAAGAAGCCACACAAAAGCACTTATGGAGCTGTTTGCGAGGGAAATACAAACACAAAAGAAAAAGAAGCACACGAAATCGCTTTATGGAGACTTTCTGAAAAAAAGATAAGATGAGAGAAAAGAATTACAAACATAAAACAAGAAGAAGTCATACGAAATTGCTTTACTCCCCAACAGCGTAAGCTCTGGGGTCTTTATCCGAAATAAGGTGTGGGGCAGATTGGGGCCAGGCCTGGGGCAAGTTCCGGGGCAGGTTCCGGCAGGTTCCGGGGAGGTTCCGGCGAGGTTCCGAAGCAGGTTCCGGTGATGTTGCGGGGCAAGTTCCGGGGCAGGTTCCGGCAGGTTCCGGGAAGGTTCCGGGCAGGTTCCGGCGAGTTCCGAAGCAGGAGCGGTTTCGGGCAGGTTCCGGCAGGTTGTGGTGAGGTTCCGAAGCAATTCCGGCGATGTTGCGGGGCAAGTTCCGGTACAGCTTCCGGCAGGTTCCGGAGCCGTTCCAGGGAATGTTCCGAAGCAGGTTCTGGTGATGTTGCGGGCGGCAGGTTCCGGTGAGGTTCCGAAGCAGGCTCCGGTGACATTGCGGGGCAAGTTCCGGGGCAGGTTCCGGCAGGTTCCGGCAAGTTCCGGCAAGTTCCGGCAGGCTCCAGGAATTCCGGGCAGGTTCCGGCGAGGTTCCGAAGCAAGTTCCGGTGATGTTGCGGGGCAAATTCCGGCAGGTTCCGGCGAGGCAGGTTCCGGCAGGTCCGGGGAGGTTCCGGGCAGGTTCCGATGAGGTTCCGAAGCAAGTTCCGAAGCAAGTTCCGGTGATGTTGCGGGGGAAGTGATGAAACATTACATCCCTGCCCTTTGTACACACGTTGCTTGAACAGTTTTACATGTGTTAACACGTGATTTTGGCATGAGCCCAATTTCATGGAGCACATTGTGAATTGCAGAACTCCGCTACTTACCAGGCTCTGAGTTTGTGGTAAAGTCCGATTACGTTTTCATGGTCGCGGAGCTGGGCCGACCCAGCTTCGAGACACGTGAACCTTCTTTGGGTTCTGTTCAGGGGCCATCGGGCTTGAACTTTTCTCTTCTGACTTTTGGGTTGAGGGCCCAGGTGTGTAGTCACCTTCAGCCCCGATTCGCTCGCGCCTCTTCCCGGCAGCACGGCTGCCTCTTTGGCTTCTCTGGAGGCCATCAAGGCCAGAGTCACAGAACTGCATCTTGAGCAACTGCTGCAGCGTGAACGCCCTCCTGGCAGATCCGCTGAAGGGTGGCAGAATATCTTGAGTACCGCCCAACGTTCGCTGGAGGCGAACTTGGCTTCTCTGGAAACTACTCAGCAGGTGTGGGACTTTGCCCACCGGTGTTTGAAGGACAGCCACCTCAAGGAAGTTTTTCGGTTCTTTGCAGTTGACGACGTGTGTGAAGAAGCAATTCCTGAAGCCTTGATACACAATACAGTTTTTGCGACAGAGGAGCGCGAGTTGTTTGAGCGAGATTTGGAAGCTTTCAGTTTTTCTACAGGTGCTGCTTCGAGTGAGGCCGCGTTCTCCGAACTGCAGGCCCCTCCGGACCAGCCGATTGATTTGCAAGGGCCCGAGCCCCGACGCACATTTGGTGCCAATCTTTGTTTGAACAGTTGCAAGGAGGTGATTGATATTGATTGATTGCCCTGCTTTACAGAGCAATGGCGAATATTGGTGATGAGACAGATGAGGAGCTTACACGCCCCTCTGGAGCCACCGCCTCAGCGCAACCATTTGGTCCTGCGCCCTTTGCACAGCCAACGCCTACAAATCCTTTTCAGCCAACGAGCCCCACCAATGCTGGAACTGAGATTGCTATGACAGCTGCCGACTTGAGAGTTCTTATGCAACGCATGTCAGAGGCTACGCAAGCTGCCAGTGCGGCTGCTCAAGCCGCCGCTTTTGCAAGCACTGCTCCAGGTTCCCGACCTATGGGAGTTGGAGACCTTACCAAGGTTCTGCCGAAGCCTGATCCATTCCGGCCCACTACGCGTGATGAGGAGTTTGCGCAATGGCCTCAGTGGAGCTGGACGTTCGAACAGTATTTATCATGCTTGGAACCTGAGTTCAGCAGTGAGCTTCGTGATTATGGCGGCAGCAGACAGCAGTGATCTTGAGTTCTTTGGACGAGAGTGCCAAGCGGCGGTCTCGGCTACTGTACGGCATGTTGAATGGCCTACTGTATGAGCGCGGCAGGCGATTGCTGCGATCTGTTCAGGATCAGAATGGATTTGAGGCCTGGAGGCTTCTCAGCAAGGATCTTATGCCAAAGACTCGCAATCGCGTCTTAGCTTTGCTGCGAACAATCAACAGCTGGCCGTCCTTTGCGGCCCAACAAGGACTTGCTCAGCAACTGCTGCGACTCGAGAGTGCCTTTGAGGAGTATGAACGCCTCGAGCCAGGCGGACTTCCCGAGAACAACAAGATGGCCACGCTCCTCAGCTGCTTGACAGGACAACTGCGCCAGCATGCCAATGTAGTCATTTCTGATGACAGCACGTACAGTGACCTCCGTGAACTTGTGCTGCGTTGGGATGGTGCTAACACGAAGTGGCAAACCAGTGTTGCTTCGAGTTATGGGCTGAGTGATGGCAAGAAAGGTTTGCATGACACCGGCGATGTTGCGCCGATGGATGTAGACCGTGTGAACGCCAAAGGCGACAAAGGCAAGTATGGCAAAGGCAGGCCCAAAGGCGGCAAAGGCGATAAAGGCAAGGATGGCAAAGGCAAGCCCAAAGGCAGCAAAGGCGATACAGGCAAAGGCGACAAGGGCAAAGGCAAGGGAGGCAAGGACAAAGGTGGCCATGCAAAGGGCAATTGGCCCTCCGTGTGTGGTTGGTGCCAGAAGCCGGGGCACTACAAGAGGGACTGCTTCCAGTTCAAGGCCTACATGCAAGGCCATCAGAAAGGTGCCCGGCAGGTTCAGGCCAACTCTTCTGCAGCTTCCGAAGCTGGCACGAGCACGACTGCCCCGTCTTCTGCGAGTGCCCTTCAAGCCCAGCAAGGTAAGGCAGGACAGTCCACCGTTCGCCGTGTTGCGGCTGAGCCACTGCTTTTCGATATGTCTGACCTGGAGGATCCGTTTCCGTATGAGCCCAATGTCTGTATGATTACTGTGACTGCGCCACAGAGCTTTGCAATGGATGCCCAGGATGATGACGATCAGTGGACTCTGCCTCCTGATGATTATGCTGTGCTTGACTTGGTGCCGAGTCCTGCTACTGCGTGTGTTCGAGCAGTGACCAGAGCAGGCCAATGCGTGATCATTGACTCGGGAGCCGATATCTCGTGCATCCCTGAGACTTTCCAGTCGTGTGGCCGTGCCGCCCGTGCAAGGCCGCTGCAGGTGCAAGATGCCCAAGGAGGTGCGATGCATGTGCAAGCAGAGCGCCTGGTGGACTTTGTGCTGTTTGGCGGGCCCCAGCCCGTTGTGATTCGCGAGCGGTGCATTGTTACGAACGTCACCCAACCACTGTTGAGCCTTGGACGGCTCATGCGCAAAGGATGGTGGCCCATTCGCCAAGGCCAATGCAGGCGCAGGTTCGATGTGCTTGCGCCACCCGCGGAGTGGCGCCGAAGTGCCCTTGCTGTTCAAAGGCTACTCCCTTGCAGTGAACGCTCAGATTCGCCGTGTAGAGCGTGAAGAGCCAGACTTGATGCACTACAATCCAGGTGCAGGTGAGGTCAACAATCACTCTGAGGATGAGACTAGCGAAGGCGAGCTTCACGCAGGACTCCGTGATGCCAACAGCCAACAGCGACTCCGTGATGCCAACAGCCAACACCCACCGAGGCGGAACGGTTCCTTCACGAATGCACGCATCTGCCTTTCAAGCCGTGGTGCCCACTCTGCATCAGCATGCGGGCCATGCCAGACCGGAGTGAGTACTTGAAGGAGGGCCCCCGCGACAATCCAATTGTCCAATTTGATTTTTCATTTTCGGGCTACAGTTTGCCGGATGGCATTTGCAACCTCGATGCTGCTCCTGAGGACTCCCAGCGTGCACTCAAGTGTCTTGTGGCGCACGACAGCGCAACTGGAATGATCGCAGCGATTCCTTGTGAGTCCAAAGGTGATACGAGGTATTTAGGCATTGAGCTTATGAGGTTCATCCAGAGCCTCGGTCACACCACTGTGACTTTGAAGTGTGACAACGAGCCCTCCACTTTGACTCTTCAGCGTGCCATCGTCACGGCCCGGCAACGGCTCGGTTTGCAAACACTCGTGCAGAATCCTGCTATAGGTGCCAAAGGTTCCTTAGGCTTTTGTGAGAAGGCCATCGACTCAGTGCGGAAACTCGCAAACACCTTGCTTGATCAGGCGCGTCACCGCACCGGCCTTCCACTACCCACGACACATGTGTTGTTTGCATGGGCGTTTGTGCACAGTGCCTGGCTGCTCAACAGATACAGAGTCATTGGCAACATGACAGCTTATGAAAGGGCCTGTGGGGCTAAGTACAGTGGGCGAATTGCGCCTTTCGCCGAACCCGTCTACTGCCAGCTTGATGTTAAGCAGAAAGGCGACAAGCGGTGGATGCTTGGAATCCTGGTGAGCAAATCCTCGCTCAACGACATGTACATCATTGCTGGCAAGGACGGAATCCGGCTGTCCAGGTCCATCCGTCGTGTGGGCCAGCCGTGGGAGCTTGAAGTGCAGCTTTACCGTGAGCTGAAGGGCTACCCCTGGGACTATGGGAGCGGTGTTATCGGGACCAAGTTTGTTGCAATGCCGAAGCAACGAACTCCTGCTGTCGACCCGGTGCCTGATGTGGCACCACCAAGGTCTCCTGATGAGGCTGCGAGCGAACCGCCGACTCCTGCGGTTGAGGCACTTGGGATGCCGGTTACGCCGTTGGGCGGGGCCGGGGCAATGGCGCCTCCGAGGCGCAATGTGCCTCCTCCTGAAAGTGCTCGAGCAATTCCAGATGAGAGCATGGCTGTTACAGAAGAGCGTCCTGGGCCAAATCCGTCTATGCGGCCCGATCCACCCAGCACTCCTGAAGCTGAGCTGCCACCGTTGAAGAAGCTGCGCATTCGTGCTGTTACCTTTGGTGAGCAGTCATACGAGGTGAATGATGAAGGCGAGTTTGACTTGGATCAGCCCGATGGCTGGGAAGTTCAGACCAAGCTTTGGTCCATGGAGTCCGAGAAGGATGAGAGTTTCACAAGTGATTTCACGGCCGATCCCGAAGCGGAGGTGGCCGAGGATGATGACAGACTGTGGTTTCCTGACAATGGGAAGGAGCCAGAGCTCGATGATGCCATTTTGGCCGAGCTCGACAACCTCGCTGATCAAGTCGAGGTCAGCAGACTGCTGAAGAAGTCTGTGCTGAGAGATGCTACGAGTGATGATGATTTGGCTTCGATGAAGAGCCTCACTACAAAGTTTGTTCGAACTTGGCGGCACAAGAAGCGGAACGGGATTCCTTCATGGTACCGCCGATCCAGACTCTGCGCTCGAGAGTTTCGGTGGTTGGATGAGTCCAAGGAAGGGCTATTCAGCCCTGCTACCAGCACTGACATTGTGCGCCTCATCCCGGCGCAATGGCTGACTTGGAAACAGACGCGACCTTCTGAACAGTACGCCATCCTGGCGCTTGATGTGAAAGACGCTTACCTTGAGGTTCCTCAGCCGACTCCGGTGGTTTCCAAGGTGCAAGGTCGAGATCTCGTTTTCATGCGAATGGTGCCGGGGCAACGCCAAGGATCGCAACAGTGGGTTTCTCACTTCTGCGAGTATCTCGGAGAACACTTTGTGGTTGAAAAGTGCAAAGAGTGCCCTGCGGTAGCGCACGTCAGCAGCAAGCCAGGATCCGATGGAGTTTGCACAGACAAGGGTCCGGGCATGATTCATGTGGATGACTCTCTACTTCTTTTGCCGCTCCAGTGGGTCCGCGAGTGTTTTCTTCCAGTGATTGAGCAACGGTTCCAGATCACGTATGAGCTTGCATATGAGGTGGGTCATTCCTTCAGTTTTCTCAAGCGTGTGCATACGATTACAGACCAGGGTATTGTGATTCGACAGCCCTCTTCCTACATTGAGCAGATGAAGCAGACCATGAATGTCACGCAAAACAACAGACAACGAGTGCCATGTTGGAGTGAACTTCGTGCTAAGGACACCACCCGTGAGCTCAACCACAACGATGCAAGCAAATTCCGACAAGCAGTTGGGACCGCCTTATACATATCATGTGATCGGCCCGATGTTGGTTATGCTGTGCGCATGCTTGCAAGCTACATGGCGAGGCCGACGGAGCATGCAAAGGTTGGTTTGATCAAACTGATACAGTACCTCATCAACACAAGTGATTATGGGATCCTGATGAAGTTTGCAGCCCCTGGGACCAGAAAGCTGAACAGTCATGTGTATGATTCTGGTTGTGCAGATGACTCCGAGCGTGCTGTGCTGGAAGTGTTTTCGGATGCTGACTGGTCGGGGTCGAAGAAGGATCGCCGTTCATACGGCGGGGCGAGTTTCTGCGTGAATGGGCAGTACGTCCACTACATATGTAGATCCCAGAAGTGTATTAGTTTGAGTTCGATGGAGAGCAAATACTACAGTGCTGTGGGAAGCGCGTGCCAGGGATTGTTCATGAAGGCTGTGATCGAGTTTATGAGCCGGAGCCCCTGCGACCTGATCGTGTACGTTGACAATCAGTCTTGCAAAGCTTTCTGTTTGCGTCAGGGAGTCACAAAGGCTAGCAAGCATTTTGAGGGCCGGCTACTTTGGTTACAGGACATTGTTCAGCAGAAGCGTCTTGTTATGAAGTACATCTCGACTCACTTCAATTTAGGAGACCTTCACACCAAGCCACTTGCCCCAAGCCGGTTGCGATCGCTGCTGTTTCTGCATGACTTTGTGGACTGCCACCCCAGGCCCATCGGGGAAAGCGAGTGGGAGCAGACGGTCACCTCGGTATCGATGAAAGCTCAGGTCAAGCGTGTTCGAACAGTGGTAGGACGTGATGCATCGAGCACGTGGGTTAAGCGAGTGGCGATGCTTTTGCTTATGATGCCGATTCCTGCAGAGGCGAGTTCAGTGACAGTTGCAAGCATGAGTGCATGCGTCTTTCTTGCAGTGCTTGTTTCGATGTGCATGGCAATTTATGCTATGGAGAGTACAGCAGAGCATGGTGCTGACAATGGTGATGATGGATGGTTGTACATTGCAACACCCGGCGGGCCACGGTACCGTTGTGGGGCAGTGTATGCCATGGGTGCTATTATGGCAACAGTTGCTTGGAGCCTTGGGTCATTTTCGGCCGGTTTCTTGAATGGAGTGGAGGTGGAATCTTCCACTACGACTACGACGATGATGACGACAGCAAGCAGCCACGATGTGATTTCTTTTATGATTCTTTGTGGGCTGCTGTGCATGTTTGTGGCGATGAGCATTTTGCTCGTGCGCACTTGGCGAGCTCTCAATCGAGAGCGCATTGAAGTTCGAGAACTTGGAGCTTTGTGTTCGGCTCTATGGGATGAGCAGAAGGATGACAAGCGAGCACTTCACGAGTTGAAGTGCGAGAATCGTTCACTGAGGGACGAGAATGCAATGATACAGTTGGAGTTCTACGAACTGCCGCACGGAAGGCAGTGTGAGATGCGTGACGCAAGCACGCAAACATGATGCCATTTGCGGTCACCAATGCCCCCTTACGGTGACCAGGCATGTGAAATGTGAAGGCCGTGTTACGCACATCAATGCCTTTTGCGATGTGCAGGCCATGTGAGAGAACAGTGAGCCCCTGTTACGTTTGCCAAGGTTTACGGTGCACAGGGCATGAGGAGTGAGTTTCGCTTTAGTTTCGTGAGCTTCGTCGTAGCTGTACGGTAGTGTACCAACGAACCTCAGGCGGGGTGATGAAACATTACATCCCTGCCCTTTGTACACACGTTGCTTGAACAGTTTTACATGTGTTAACACGTGATTTTGGCATGAGCCCAATTTCATGGAGCACATTGTGAATTGCAGAACTCCGCTACTTACCAGGCTCTGAGTTTGTGGAAAAGTCCGATTACGTTTTCAGGAAGGTCGGGGCAGGTTCCGGCAGGTTCCGGAGCGGTTCCGGGGCAGGTTCCGGTGAGGTTCCGAAGCAGGTTCCTGTGATGTTGCGGAGCAAGTTCCGGGGAAAATCCTGCTGCACATGCTTTTCTAGCCCCAATACAATTGTCCGAGCTTTGAAAACCGCATTTTACAGCTTTCTCAGCCTTGCTAATGCCCCTCCTGCTCCCACTCCCGGGCTGTAATTCAGCTCCGAAGCTTCAGACCGAGCCCAAATGAAATTCGCGAGGCCGCGAGGCCTGCTAAACGCACTTAGCCTGCGTTGGAGCAGCGCTCAACCTCATCCCGTCGCTAAACCCGAAAATAATGCTGCACACGCTTTACTTTGGCATCCAGCAGCCCCAAATGCATTGCCCAAGCCTTGAAAACCGCATTTTACAGCTTTCTTAGCCTTGCTAATTAAAGCCCTTCCTGGTCCCAGTCCCAGGCTGTATCTCAGCGCCCGAAGCTTCAATTCGACCCCACATGCATTTCCCGATGCCCGGTAAACGCATTTGGCCTGCGTTGCAGCATATCTGGACTTGAATGCGGTCCCTGAAATCCTATT